TTGGGGATACTATGGTACCCCTTATAGAGTAAGATTCTATCCTCCTAAGGAATATTAGTTTACTAGGTTCCCACCAAAAACAACACTACTTAGTTTTGCTGATGCCAAGAACACACAGGAGCTATAGTTTAAACTCCTTTAAAGGGGGTTATATAGGGGAGTATAGAGGGGAGTCTTATATGGGTTGTTAAAGGGGATGCTACGAGTTTAGACGATGGCTCACATAGTCATCATGAGAGAAGATGCCACGCAAATGACATTCTCGCTCTCTCAGTTGCATTCCCCCCGCCAGCTGCGTGCCAGGCAGCGCGAGGCATCGCGTCTCCAATCTGAGGCAGTGCTGACTGTTGGTTGCCTAGGGCTGTGAAAGAGTCAAGTGCGACATCCCAACCACCCAACAAGCAGCTGATACCTTGGAGTGTTGTGATCTCAAGGGACCTCTTCAGAGAGGTGCAGACCCTACGCGCAGAGCTCAGCCGGGCCCGGCGCTCCGAGTCTGCGGCAGCTGCAGAACTTGCGACAGCTGAGGCTGAAGGCGCCAGGAGAAACTCTAAACCCGTTACTTGTGAAGAGCAGGCTGAAGGGAAGATCAATTGTACGGAGGGTGTGGCAAAAGGGGGAGGATCGTGTGTATTCTCAGTGCAAGTATGTGCAAGTCATAGGTTTCATACAATTAATGTAGTTCAGATACTGAAATTGCCAGTGAAAGTACACTTGCTGTCAGGCGCGAAGCATGGCAGATCCCAAACGAGAGACAAGCAACTTGGCCCACAGCATGTTTTTCAGTTCTGCTTACTGTGTGGAACGGCCCTCCTTTACCACGCAGAGAAGGTGTGTAGTCTTTCCTCTGCACGGTGAACTTGCCTGCAAGCACCATTCCTTGTGAGCTTGTCTGGTGCTGCTCCCAAGTACCTGTGCCCCCTCCTCACTCAGGCAGAAGCAGCAGCAGGCTTCCGCGACGGAGGATCCGCAGGTGCTTGCCAGCATGCTGGACGTGGTGCGCCAGGCTTGGGTCATTCTGGCCGTTACATCCCGCTGAAGTTCTAGCTGCCAGCCTGTGATTTTTGACATCCTGGTGTGGTATTACAAAAATTATTCTAACATGACTGATAGGTAACCGAAAAGCAACTTCAGTGTAGAGATCTGAAGGTGCCTACTGTTTTGTGCCAAAGGTAAGTCAAAGACAACTGGCACTGCTGCAAAAAAGGCTGCCGTTGGCAAACACTGCAGGTGATAGTGGACTTAGAATGGAGAACTGCGGCGTTGTGCAAGTCCTTCATCACCTTCGTCTGCCTGTAGATCGGTTTCGGTCTTCTTTTTTCTCATGCATTTCACATTCAACTCCTTTTCGAATCCTTGTTAGGCTTCTTTGTCACGTTTTCCTGGATTCACAAGTACCCTTCCTTTCCGTTTCTTGCACATAGCTCATCATTTTCTCATCACCTTGCTGACTCGTAGAAGAACAAGAGCAGGTCATGGAGATGTGCTCTGGAATGCTGCCCAGCCGTGACGCAACAGGCTGGCCATTTTTGGCAGAGAGGTGTCAGGCGTCGCAGATATCACCTGGGGTGAGGTGTTTGGAATGATGAGCGTGCAGAAGGGAACTTTGGCGACTTGTTTGTGGAAGGTAGCCTATGTACCCCCATTATAGTAGTTTCCATTTTCTTGTCCATTATCCCTTTATAACCCCAATATAACCCCTATAACCCTATATATCCCTTTAAAGGGAAGTGGTGCTTCAGGGAGAGTGGGGGAGTGAACCCCTAGAAGTCCTATAGAATCTCCATAGATACCTTTATAATAGGGTTTAGGGGTTTAGGGTTTAGGGTTTAGGGGGGGAAATGCATATAGGGACTGTTATAGAGGTATATATGCGGATGATGTAGGAATTCTTTTAAGGGTGGGGAAATGAATTTAAGGACTAAACCCTAAACCCTAAACCCCTAAACCCTAAACCCCAAAACCCTAAACCCCTAAACCCGTAAACCCTAAAACCTCCAGTAAGTTAGCTCCGCAGGCTCGGACAAGATGGCCCTGATCTTGAAGGAGGTGAAGGTGGCCTCAGGGTTTTCAACCCTAAGCCCTACAGGGTTTAGGGTTTAGGGTTTAGTGTATGGAACTTAGGATTTGGGGTTTAGGATTTCGGGCTTAGGGTTTAGGATTTAGGGTTTAGGATTTCGGGTTTAGGGAGCCATAAACCCACCCTAGACCCCGAGCCCTAAACCCTAGACCCTAAAAACCCTAAACCCGGACAAATCTGGGTTGCTGTTACCTTTAAGGAAATGAATTTGAGTTACCATAAGATGGGTTATATCAGAAAGGGTTTAGGGTTACCATAATATGGGTACATAGTAAATCATAGGGTTTCCATGATGCAGTCACTGAATTTAAGCTCTTTCAAAGCAACCCAGTCATAACCAATATTCCCAATAGTGCCATTACATGGTTGGAGGAGTATCTGCCAGTTTCCCAAGATGGGGGGTGTAGACCTCAAAATGCTAGAATCCTCAGTATAGGGGCCGCAACAAGGTACCCCTAATTTTGGAAAACCCTCATCCCTATAACCCTTTTTTATTCTTCGAGTTTCCATTTCATTTTTCATTTTGTTGTTTTCCATTTGATTCACCATTATTGGTGGTAAGTGGGAAGGCTCCTAAACCCTAAACTCTGTATGTACCTATAGAACCCCATGTAACCCTTATATACCCGTTATATCCCCCTTGAAAGGTAGCCCCAACTGTGAGCATGTGGGAAGCTTAATCCCCAATCTTGGCTTGATCAGGAGCTGGGAGGCTTCTGCCAGACGCTCCAGCAGCAAGTCCAGTCCCAAAGGTGCCAGGGAGATTTCGGGCTTAGGGTTTAGGGTTTAGGGAGTTCTCTCTCCTTCAATGAAAAAGAATGCCGGCTCTACTGTTGAAGATGTACGCAGGGGTGGTGCCTTCTGCTGTGAAGATGGGGTGCTTGCAGGAACAAGCCCTCAAACGGACACCTCATAATCAGGCAATCCGTCCAGCACTGCTTAGCAATCACCAATGATTCCTCAGCTGAAGCTTGCGGTAGACTGACTGGCAGAATCTCACAAGCAGGTTTTTGTGAGGTCCTGTTGCCAGGAACTGAAGTGATCGGATGAAGACATTTGGGCACTGACTTGTCAGAGGAAGTCTGCAAGCACGACATTCCAAGCCCTCAACCCTCAAGAAATTAATCCTATTTTCTGTAGTACTATCCGGTTTGGTGTCCATTCATTTCCACTTGATTTTCCATCATTCGGGGTGACAAGAGGTGAAAGCCCCGAACCCTAGGAATCTCTTGGTCAAACTCTCTCTGAGCTTTATATATTTGTTACATAGCATAGAATGAGGAGCTCTCAATAGTAAGTGGGTTCGTAATAGAACGAACTTTCGGCTGAACGGATTGATATAAATGGGTACGGAATAGAGCGAACTTTTGGTCTGAACGGATTAATAACAACACAGGAACGGAATAAATCCATGCTCTGTCCTGGAAATGCCCCAAGAAAGAAAATGGCAAGAAACAGAGAGAAGAGAAGCCAGAGAAGCCAGCCAGTCTAGGCAACCGAACCCCTGATTAAGTAGTAACTTGTATTTGGTTAGGATCAGGGGGTTAGGGTTTGGGGTTGAGGTTTCAGGGCTTAGGGTTTAGGGTTTATGATTTCCTCTGATACTCCCCCACAAATTTGCCGAAATGTGACTGGGCGATTTAGAATCCTGACTTGTCTTGTTTGGGGGGGTTAATATGAAGAACCCGACATTAACCCGACACAACCCCTATGCATCCTTTAGAAATATCTCCATGCATCCTAAGTGGAGGCGGTCCCTCTGCTCAGCCGTTGCCTTGCACGAGTCTTCGGAACTGGAGGATGAGCAGAGGCGAGAAAATATTTACAGTAGCTATATGAATTATGTTTGCTATGCTCGCCTGGTCTGAGATATTCAAATCTCGCATGATGTGAGAGTGCACAAGGTGTTCAGGCTGTGTGCAAGGAAAGCCATCTTCATCATCCTAAGCAAGACTCTTTTGCCGGCATACCATGCCATTGCTGCGTGTGTAAGAGGAATGTCACACACACACACACCTCCAACCCCAATATATACCCAATTATAATATCGTAGTTTCCATTTTCTTTTCCATTATCCCTATATAACCCCAATAATACACCCTACATTCACTCGTGATATGAAGAGATCAATCCCAGGCAGCAGCGAAGCACTCTTTTCTTATGAAATGGAAAGGTTCGCTATGCGCTGCTACATGTTTCGCCCCTAAGCGCTGGGGCTCGTCAGCCTGAGCCCAAACACCAACAGTGCAGCCACCTTCAACTGCAAATGTGATGCAGGGTCACGAGACTGACATACAACACTAACGTACAAGAGCAATAATTGTTTTGCTCTTGAATTGTTTGCTCTTGTACGTTATTTTTTTTGCTCTTGTACGTTAGTGTTCTACTTAAGGGATCAGGGGGACTATATCCGCTCTGCAGGGAAGACACCTCCAAGCGGATGGAAGATCTGCTGCTCGGCTGCTTTGGTCCTTTGCTGCTTTGGCCCTTTGTTTGTAGGGTTTAGGGTTTAGGGGTCTTGGGGTGTATATCCCAAATGCTAGATACTATAACCCTACGCCCTAAACCCAAATCTAGGACCAAAGCCCCTAAACCTCTCGAATCTCGAATCTCAACCTCCTCGATTATAAGGAAACCATATTGTTTCCCAATGTTTACTGTAGCTTATTCCATATGGGGTTTCCCAAAATTGGGGGTACCATGGCGGGGGGTCTCAATGATAAGGACTATAGTATTTTAGGGTTTATATTGCGGTTCCCTCATTCTGGGCAACTACCATGTATTCCTTAAACCCTGAACTTTAAGTAATGATGCCTAAACCCTAAATAATAAACCTGAAGCCCTAAGCTTAGCGGCACCCCCGTCTGTCATGGGCGTGGGCAGCCCGACTCAGGTTAGAGCTTCAGCACGAGTTGCAGCTGCAATACAAGCTGGAGGCTTAAAACCAGAAGCAATTTTTTGTTTAGGCTTCAGGGTTTAGGGTTTGGGCTTAAGACCTTAGGGTTCAGGGCTTCGGCTTTAAGGTTTAGGGCTTCGGGTGTAGGGCTTTGGATTTGGGCTGTTTAGGGCTTCAAGCATTATTTTCCCCCTTCTACGCGTTACATAGCTGTACCATAACATGCCCTCTTCCGACTGATTTGAGCCCTTACATTACAATGCCTGGAGGCCCTTGCATATATCAGGTTTCATGGTAATTCCAGGTTCTTTTCCGTTCGACTCTCCATTCTTTTCATCAGTATGCCCCTGCACCTCACACACATATGTATAAATATATATATATATATAAATGTGTATATAGGTGTGTATCTATATATATATATATCTGTATATATATATATATGTGTGTGTGTGTGTGTATACGCGCATAGAGTCCCTATGCATACGACGTACTCCCTTTCAAGGTGCCCTTACCTTGTGCAAAGCGACCCTAACTGTTTTGGCCCTTAGAATACGTACCTTGTTGCATGCCCAGGTCAGCAGCGGAGGCGGTCCTTGGGCTGCGCCAGGCAGCCACACAGAAGACCTAGATGGGGTTTAGGGTTTAGGGGAAAAGGGTTCGTATAGGGGTATACAGGTAGGGATTAGGCTCATAGACAGGACAAATAGGGGAGATGTACAGGCAATAGGTTGCATAGGGGTGTATGGGTATTTCGGGTGAATAGGTGGGTAGGTACGGATAGATAGGGTTTTAGGGTTTCCAAATCACGCTGCATTCGCGGATTCAGAATGTTGACCATCATTGGATGTTTTCGAAAACAGGGTTTCTCCACCTGAGATGCCCGCAAAAGGGAACCCCAGATATTGTGAAACCCCCATTTTCATTCACCTTCGTAGGAGAGCTCCAGGTAGGACTTAGGACTTCCTTGCGATAGTAGACCCCTAGCCCTAAACCCCAAACCCTCTTGGACATTTCTGCCAGCTTTACCGCAGCAACTCTCCAGTTGCCATGATTACGATCTATAGTTGCTTATGGTAACTACAATTCCAGATTGTGCAGGTGTTTCGTAATCCTAAACCTTAAGCCCGAAACAATGAGCCCCTGAACCCTAAGCCCGAAACCCCGAACCCTAAACCCTAAGCCCTAAACCCTGAACCCTAAACCCTAAACCATATACAAACCCTGAACCTCAAGCCCTAAACCCTGAACCCTGAAGCCCCTAACTCTGCAACAGGATGTTGCCCAACGGGCAAAGCAGGAGGAGCTCCTCCAGTCGGAGCTTCACAGCAAGGTGCGGAGGGTCAGCACTTGTAGGCTTCAAGCCTAGGGTTTAGGGTTTAGGGGTTAGGGGTTTAGGGTTTAAGGATTTAGGGTTTAAGGGTTTAGGGTTTCGGGTCAAAACTCCTTAAATGGGGTTATATAGGGGACTAGAAGGTACCTATTATAGGGCGTATTAGGGGGGATACTAGGAGGTTG